CGTTTGACCCCAGTACTCTTTCCTGCCATGGCAGGGGGTCGGACTAGATGATCTGCTCAGGTCCCTTCCGACCCTAGAAACTATGAAACTATGATCAGCTTGGCTGCTTGTCTTAAAATGGGTTTACAGCATCATACTGTGATGCACTAGACCTTTTTAGAGTTTGGAGGCAACAGCAGTAGGTGCACCAAGTACTCCACAATGGCTTGCTCCCTCGCCTTCCTTCTATATTTAGTTCTTAGACTTATTCTAGGCTACTGTTCCTGCACATCCTATCGACCCCACCTGAGTACATTGCCCTATGATATTATTTCCTTTTCTTGTACTCTGAGGTATTCACCTGGCTGGAAGGCACACTGTCCACATATGCTTGCCACTGGTTAGACCTTCCTTTCCTACCAGCAATTACAAAAAGGAAGTAATATCTACTTTTTAAGACTGTGAAGAAGTAGAGGCCACCCAGGTCGATAGCACCGGTGGTTAAAAGGTTTGGAAAGATAATTGGCAGACCTCAGAACTATACAGAGCAGGGACTCTTGCATATGAGCATTGGTCTGAAATAATTACCCCAAAATAAAAATACCCCAACTGAAACAGGAGGCAAATTTCTGGATTTACCTTGAATATATCAATGTAAGTGTGTAATTGTGTTAGGTGGGTAAATCTACTTTTACATCAGGAAAACAGTATTATTCTGAGAAAACTTGTTCTCTTAGGGTGAAGCTAGAGCATGGACATATGAATAATTTTACCAGTTTAAAGGGAGGAGACTGCCTTAAGGGGTAAGCTGGACCTACTTTAGCTTCTATTTATTGTGGGACAGGAACAAAAAGACAAAACAGTTGCAGTGGAACTGTAAAAATTTCCTTCCCCTATAAAACAGTACAATTGTTCGCAGATACAGGCCCCTTTTCTAATTTGTCTTCAGTTTATGTAGCGCACCCTGAAATTAGACAAAAGTCTCTCCGCAATTTAAATGATTAAAATTAATTTTAGTTGCCGTTACAGCCAATCAAATATTGGAATCCAAAAAAAAAAAAAAAAAAAATACTGAAAGGAGTCTTTCCTTGGGTATTTAAGTCTTTGAGAATAAGTGAATGTATAAACAAAGTTTCTTTCAGCAATAAGCTCAGAGATAAAAAAAATTTTAAAGAGGGCACAGATTTGCCTTTCTCTATTAGAAGAAAGGTGACACCTTAGAAGGTAATGGTTATATTCTTGGATGTGACTTACATCTCTGAAGGAATAGTAGGATAATGGAATTTCCAGTTTCACCGGTCTTTTCTTGCCCTCCCACTAAAGATGCAAACGGCAATAAAAAATAGAATTGAAAATTTGAGTAAGTACTAGCTCAGACTACAAGAAGGTTATATGAGAGCTCATCCCTTTAACAAGTTTCAGTGAGGTGCCAATTCTTCGGTAGGCATAAATCAGTATAGTTCCAATAAAGTCAAGAGAACTAATCCCTCTTATACCAGAACTGAGGACCTTGCTCTGTGGCACTCCTCTTTGTCATAACTACTCACTGAAGAGACAGAGGAAATGTAGGAGACTGTACTGCAGCAAATAAAGCTTGTGTTCTGGGAGGCTGTTTTCCCAAGTAAAGGCATGCCAACTGTACAATACTCAATGCACATAACATCCATCCACCAAACACTTTAAATTGTCACTGTTCCAAGTGAAGAAAAAAACTAATTCCCAATATGAAGCATCAAGTGGAGTCACAATTCAATAAAGCAATAAAGAAAAAAACAATATGAATTTACTTGTTGTGCAACCCTTATTTGATTCAGCAAAAGAATAATAGAGACTCTGACTAAAATGGAAAGAATGGATTATGCTCCCTGCAGTTTGCAGATGGGGCTCACATGGCAGCCAGAAGAGGTCTGGAGAGTGGAGTGTTAGGTGTCAGAAAAAAAGAATAAAAGTAACTTGCTTCTTTCTGAAGCATAAGAGATGTGGATCTCAGACTCGTTATGACCCTTCTCCTGTGCTCTTGGGCTTGTCTTATTGGTCAGGTAAAAAGAAAAGGGAATTGCCTTTGAATGGGAGAAGGAAGGAGAATTGTATGCTCTGCTAGCTACTTAGTTTTATTTCCTTCTAAAATTTATGACAAAAAGGACTGCAGCCTTGAATAGTAGCCCCTATTTTAATTGTTGTATAAATTTAAAATACATGCATAGAAATGCAGACTATACTCCACAGTTAAAATCTGAACCACAGAGAAATTAAATGATAAAAGTAATAACGAAAATTATATACCAGGTAACATCATGGATATTTTTATCAGTAAAAAGAAAGAACTTATCACTTTATTTCTTATGCCAGAGGTCTATATTCATAATTTCATAGTTAAGGACTGGAAGGGTCCTTAGAGATCATCAGGTCCAGCCCCACCAGGAAAGACTTCTGGGATCAGATGATACCTACATTGAAGGTTTCATGGTAATAACTTGTTCATGTGATAACATACAGAAATTATTTTATATTTCTCTTGAAGCATCTATCTGAGGATCTCCAAGTCAATTACAAGCATTAATTAGTTAAAATGGATGGCACTCTGTCTCCTATTTCACCACGTAGTATCCTGGGGTCCTAAGTCAGACTCAGGGTCTATTAATACCTCTTCAATACAAATGAATGGCAACCCTCCTCACAAGGTCTCTTTAAAGAGTATATACAAGCATCCATTCAGAGATGGAAAGAGTGCTGAAGTGAGTTCCCCAAGGTCAAAGAGGATGTCTGTATAGCAGGCTGTGAACCAATCTCCTATTTTCTGACTCTGCATTCTTTATAATTTCAGACACAAAATGGTTATACCTTTTCTAAAGTCTAAGCTTCTAATTCATTTTGCTCATTTTTGTGCAGGAGGGATTATATACATTGATTTTTGTGATTTATATTTATCATTTGAAACCCTAGATCAAAAGGTAGCCCTAAACCAGTGGTCACCAACTAGTGGATCTCGATCTACTGGTAAATCTTGGAGCCTTTTGGAGTCAATCCGAGGCTGGGCTGGAGGGCTGAGTGCTGCGTGCATGCACACATGCGCCCCACCCCAGCAGGTCAGTCCTTGGGGGAAGGAAGGGGCAGGGGCTAGATCAAGACCCCCCCCATGGTAAGCAAGGATAAGTTGAGTGGGGCCCTGGCCAGATGGGATTTACCTGCTGGGAAGGCATGCCCCCAAATCATTTTTTCTCCCTCTGCCTAAATGTGTCCCTCCCCTTCCCACCCCATAGACTTACCTACAGGGCAGTGGGGGAGGGATGACAACAGCGCATGGTAGATCTTGGGTTGCTTTTAAATGCCAAAGGTGATCTCCTACTTAAAAAGGTTGGAGACCACCGCCCTAGACTATATATCTTCAAATACAATTATAATTTGTAATTTTGAGAAAATTATGTTAAAATGTATTCCTTTTTTCCCCTCTTAATGACTACTTGAGTGTCATTTCTCCATGTGATGTGATGCTATAACAAGTTTGATTTAATTTCTATGAAGTGATATGAATTAAAAATTTCTATGAAACAGGCAAAATGGGGAAAACAACAAAAAAACCCCACATACATCATGTTCTGTGTCTATTATTCTTTCAAATTTTAATTCTACCCATGGTACAACAAGTACATGGCCGAACTTGCCATTTCTGCCTGACCTAACATTGATACAAAAGAAGGAAATATTTAAGAATTGGCTGTTCCAGTAGGATGGCTCTGGATCTTGAAGTGATGAGAGAATAAAGACTGTCCTCCACAGCCTCCCTCACTTTTTAATTCTCTTCTGCACCTCACAAAGAGAAACATGGGCAAATACTCTGAAAATTCATGCAAAATGCAATACCTTCCCTCAAGCAGATTTGGGTACATGGATGAATGATTCCCATCTTGCTCACGCTTCCCTGATTCCAATACTTTGTACAGGCCTGATTCTACTATCCCATTGAAGTCAATGGCAAAATGCCCATTGACTTCAGAAGGAGCTGGACTGTATGCTAAATATATACTCTTTACTTTGATTTCATAATCCAAAAAGTGAAATCCCCAAGTGTAAGTCTGAACCCAAACCTTGGCTGTCCAAGGGAACACCTGGCCACCACAACAATTGGTAAGCTAATTTTAAAAAAAATTTTATAACTTGATAAGTATTTTGGTAACCAAGTTCATACCATACTACCAGAATGAAAATATAATAACAATCTCATAAATTATGTAAAAGTGAAAACAATATATGTTCCAACTAAGTCAACAGCAACCTGCCCCCACACAAAAACCT